AGACAATTGACATGTCACAGGTGCATAACATGGAAATGATCGTGCTGATCCTTGTACTTCAGCATATGCAAAATGTCAGTCAGCAAGAAACATCAGAAAACCAATGCATTCTCTGATAAGATCACATGCACTTGCATCTGTGGGATAACAATCCTATACTATTGGGAAGAGTTCTGGGGAATGGTCGTCTTTGGCACAGTTCCTGCATTATGGTGGAGTATGATTTTGCATAATTTGGGATAGTGATGTGTCAAAATTTCCTCCTCTTTGTTTTTAACCATTCTGCATCAATTAATGAAGGGGGAAATGCATTCCAAAATTATCAAAGGGGAGAGAGCAATCTGTGTGGAATTTCCATTGGCTGAATGTGGGGTTCTTGTTGCACTTACCTTGCTTTAGAAGTAGTTTGTGAGTATTCCTTCTTTCATTCATTGAATCATCTCATCATTGGTCCAGGCTCTACAGCTTTCCTGGGTGTCCATGCTTCAGGTGAAATCCAGTAGAAGCCATCTTAAGGCAACCCTTCTCATCAGGCTCCCCCCCCCTCCAAATCAGGAATCATCCAGGAAGCTTGCAGAGTGCTGGGAAAATGTTTACAGGAAATGAAAATATATTCACAGGACCCTTCACTACCTCACAAAAATAAGTTAAGCTCAGAGCCTTGCACCTACCAAAATTCTAAAGGAATTCTCAAGAAACTGTCAAGTACCCAGCCTGACAGTGTGGTAGAAAAACACATTATTCTTTTGCCAAGGAATAAAAATCCTCATAAATTGGAGGGCAGATTTTGACATCACTGTAGATATAGGAACAGCAATATGTGTGGTCCAATAATGCATTATACAGATTCATAGGAAATGACGTGTACTTAGTTACACCATTACACCAGCTGTTTTCTGTCTCATCCCTCTCTCTATATATAAAAGCTCACACCCATCATTTTACTAAGAATCAGTTATCAGGAACTTCAGGATCTGAATTATAAACCTTGTCTGAGGCTGGAATCTAGTTTATTTATTTTTACTGTATTCCAATATTACACACACACACACCACTTGATTGAACTTCAAATTAGTTTATGGAAAGAATAAAACATTAAAGGTATCAAAAATAATAATTATAAACAACTATTCAAAATATGGGACACGGGTGGCGCTGTGGGTTAAACCACAGAGCCTAGGACTTGCCGATCAGAAGGTTGGAGGTTTGAATCCCTGTGACAGGGTCAGCTCCCATTGCTCGGTCCCTGCTCCTGCCAACCTAGCAGTTCGAAAGCACGTCAAAGTGCAAGTAGATAAATAGGTACCGCTCCAGTGGGAAGGTAAACGGCGTTTCCGTGCGCTGCTCTGGTTCACCAGAAGCGGCTTAGTCATGCTGGCCACATGACCCGGAAGCTGTACGCCGGCTCCCTCGGCCAATAAAGCAAGATGAGCGCCGCAACTCCAGAGTCGGCCACGACTGGACTTAATGGTCAGAGGTCACTTTACCTTTACCATTATTCAAAATATTCAAAAAATAATTAAATTCAACAATAAGATAAAAACCAGATTAAAGCACGTGTCAACATTCTACATGTCTTAATAGGCTTGGTGTGGGGGTTTTTTGCAGGTGCTGAAAAGAGTACGGTGAATGTGCTTGCCTGGTATCAATTGACAGGAAGTTCCAAAGTGTGAATGCTTGCAATTTCTTACAAATGCAGGAACAAGTGTTATATGGCACTTCTTACAGTTCTGCAAATCAAAGCAGCTGAGCTGGCATACATGGGTAAAGTGATCTCACAAGTAAACCAGTTGAGCAAATTATCTTGGTCTGTGTGTGTGTGTGTGTGTGTGTGTGTGTGTTCAGGCCCAGAAAGTAAAAGCGGGATGCATTATCCCTTGTGATTGGCAAGCAGTATGAAGTCTCTGGACTGGTCAGCCTTTATTTAAGTATTTAAAGTTCAACAGGAGGAGTGGTCAGCAGTGAAGTGCAGCACAAGGACTTAGTCTCCTGTCAGTGGTGTCACTGCCACTTAGGAGAGTGGTGAGGCGACATGGCAGGGGACAATGAGATCAGGGCAGTTTAGGCACACCAAGGGAGCCAATCTGACACTCCTACCAGTTGGTGCAACTGAACTTTCCTGACTTCTCTGCAGCCCTACCCCAGCCAAATGCCACAGATGCCACTGCTAGGAGGCCAGGTGTCTGGCTCCACCTCTCCCTCCCTGCCATTCCTGATCAACAGGACAGGGACTTCCGCCTGCTGCATTTCAAGTTTCAATTTCCCCAGGTCAGGTACAGTAAATGACCTGGGATATAGAAACTGGCTCCAGGTCTAAATTCAAGTTTGGCTGCCCACGGGTACCCTCTGTGCCTGACATTAGGTACTGAAAGTGTTCACCAAAGCTGAAAAAGAAGAGCTATCTGCTACAGCCATACATGTTCACCTGTGTATTATTGTTAACAGCATCAGAAGTGTTTGCTTTTCAGTTTTGCTGCATTGTTCCTATCAAGAAAGCAACATCATGATTACTCCCCACTCGAGAGATGCAAACTTAGACCAAATTCAATTAAAGGAAGGCCTGGGGAAATCATATTGATGCTGCGTTTCTTAATTCAACTCATGTGATAGGAACAAATTTTAAAAGAAAGCCAGTCATAAAAGATAGACACACTACCACACCCTTTAGCAGCTCTCCATGCAGACTTTATCTGATAAGGAGCCAATAAAGTTTCGGAAAGATCTTTGCTTACCTCCTTCACCCACTGGAGCATTTTAATTAAATTGACCTCCACTACTTAATCAGACAATTTCCATTAGGACACATAAAAGACCTTATCCATTTCATCTAGGCACTTGACTAAGTCCCTCCAATCATTTTAACTTAATTACTAATAGATGAAAAATGACTTGTCTAACATAATTCCTGTCAAAACAATTCTAGATCAGAGAACTAATGTGAACTCCCAGGGAGATATCATTACATTCTGAACAACGTTCTTTATGTAGATTAGAAGGGGGGAAATGTTCTGAAGTTTTCAACTTGGCAGACAATTCCGGCACACTTTAACATGCTCACAGATGAACAAGGATCAAAGTTTCTTACTTGGAAGCAACAATATTTTCACTCTCTATATTGTATCTCTTCAAATGGATTTTATATTCTGTTGGTATTTCCTCTTAATTTATACATGAATTTAAACATGCATGAGCTGCAGCCCACCTAGGGATGTTAGAAGGCAGCAATTTCCCTTCTAACCCAACTTTCTCACCATCTGCACTGTTTCTTTTCTGCTGCAGTTTGTTTTCTGACAAATGTTATTCATCTTCTGTATGCAATTTGAGATAATTTATATAAGTTGCATATTTAATGTAATTAATAGCATAATTGTTTTCACACCATTAATTTCAATGCAAATGTCACTCATTTCAAAGCAAAGGAAACACAATTAAAATGGGTCATTTGTGAACTGAAAGCAACCAAGAGCAACAGTGAATACTGATTGGTATTGGCTGAATTGATTTCAGTTCCAGATATTAGATGAATAAGCAAACATTGACATTTTCTTCTGTTTCTGTTTTCATCAGAATTCTTCAACACCCCTAAGCCCACCAAATATCACAGCCTGCAAGGTATGGATTGTTACCTTCTGGACATTTGCCAAGTTTCTGTTTTGTTTAGACCCAAATGGGGTACACCAATATTTGCTGACCTTGATAGTCAGTGTTCACTTCTGAGCTCCCTATTGGAGCTAGTCTGTGGCTTTTCACTCTCAGCTTCAGGTATGTGTCAAATGCTACCAAAATCTATCAGGACCAGGCATGGATTCAGGGGCTGTTGATGCTTGGAAAGAAGTGAAATGTGCCTTTTCAGCCAAGAACTGTATCACAAAATTCAGAGAACTGATAAATGTGAAGAATAGTTATGTTCCAATCCGATATATTAGTATAGAAGGTGTGAATCTTTGAAACAAGTGAAATTTGTTTCCATCCCTAGGGAATGTTGAAGTGAAAATGATGTCTGTCCAGCACGTAATCCAAAACTTTATGGAGGATTGACATATGAAGTTTCCCTCTGCCCAGTTCTCTTCTTTGTCTCCATGTACTGTATAAAATTGGATTACCTGTATGGAATATTCTGCAATACTGAAGAAAATGAGAGAGTGTTTGCTGGTTTGAAGCTCTGTGAGAGCCCCTGGCTCCTTATGTGAGAACAAGAGCTGTGGGATTGGGACCACCCTATTTACATTGAAGGTCTCACAGAGCTAGTTTTGACACCTAATGGTTCTGAATGCTTGCAAGAGGGCAATGGAACACATTGACATGCAATTTCTGCTCCCATCAAGTGAATGAAAAGTTCAAAACTCTATAGCACAAATTGAAAGTTTATTTCATGGGGAACTTTGTATACAGTTGATGCAAGTGTTACAGAGCTTAGCATAGCACAAAGTGTTCTGTTTTGGACTCTTTCCCATGAACTCAATAATAGGTTTCTAATAATTTCTTCCTGACCTATTTTTTAACAGCAGTTTCTTCTCCACTGAGTTAAAATTAAGCCGTTCCTAAATTTAAATGCCCCACTTATTGGTTCTTTGTGCATGTCGCAGCTTTGTCGCATTCATAGAGTAAGCGCAAGAGCTTGTCCACCCACTTCAACATAGGGACCCAATTCCATGTACATATTCCCTTCATTTCATGCAGCCATTACAGTTAATAGGGTAGTCTATTCATGTGGGGTTTTTATAGGCTATGGCTCGGGACAAGTTGTCTTTGCCTCCACACCACAAAGAAGAGTCACAACACAAAGCACTGGGATAATGGTTATATCTATTAATATAAAAAGCGGAGGAATTTCAAACTAAACTGAACAAATGGACGGGATTCAAAAGAGTATGGGCAGCTGAGGATTTTAGCAAACTTTAGGGAAGCAAACCCCAAACCCCTTGGCATGTGATGCACCATGGGGAGGATGCATGTGGCTCCCCAGCTAAGGATGGTAGGAAATGACTCCATCCTTCCTAGGTAAGCTTGCTCAGTTGGTAGAGCATGAGACTCTTAATCTCAGTGTCATGGGTTCAAGACTTATATTAAGGAAAGTGATTCCTGTATTTTAGGGGGTTGGACTAGATGGTGGTCCCTCCCAACTCTACAATTCTATGTTTCTGAAATATACTCGGAGTCGAGAGTGGATTTCATGCTCTTTATTCAGTTCATAATGGTGAGAAGGAATGGAAGTTCTCCCACCCCCAGAATGTCTGCTTTATATACATTATTTACACCATGGGCCTCATGTGATTGGCTAATTCTGGGATTCTCCTGTAGGCCAATCAGGCTGCGGATTCACTTCCACCTGGAGCTGGATTGGGTGGCTCCTGTGGACCAATCAGACTGCTGCATTCTGAATCCTATTGTTCTAGGACCAATCAGACAGCCGCCTTTTGGATCCTATTCAACTCAGTACATAACAGTTTCTATGAGCCCAACACACAGAGAGAGACCCCACTGTCCAGGGTTCACCCAAAATGAACATTTCAAGCTAAAAGGGTTCCCGCCTGGCATTATGCACCGAAAGATTCCTGAAGGGTGTATTGTTTTTCTCCCCAACTTCCTCACCTGTCCAGACTCAATGCTCAAACAGGCAAATGAAACATACCACTCCCAAATGCCAATCAAACTGATCCCAGCAATGTGGAGTAGGTGAAAAAGCAGGGACACTAAAGGCCATCAAGGAATCCCTGCTGCCCAAATAAATTCTACTCAGCTACACCAAATTGGTGACTAGCAGAAGCCCACACTGCATATGGAGGAATATATCAGCAGGAAGGTTTTAGCTTGCAAGAAGGGGGGACTTGTGAAGTTAGACTCTGACCTCCTCCCAAATTGCCAGAGCCCTCATGTGGTCATCCCTCAACTTACTCAAGATGAGCCCTTGTACCAATACTTATTCAATGCAGTAACATGGTATATTGCCTCGTCTGACAGAGGACTCTAGCTCAGAAGACTTAGTGGAGTCCCATTATCCCCCTTCCACTCTGTCAAAGGCAATGACCACAAAAGCAGGTTGGACCTCTTCAGATGAATAGACTTCATTCGTTCAACACAGGCAGTTTTTTCCCAACTCTTGGGAACTGACTATTTTGAAAGAAATGACTAGTGCTGTGATGTTTGTTTTGTAATGATCCATTTGTTTTAATGGATCTCATATACCAGAACCAGATTCAGGGCAGTTTGGGCAGTTTCCCCCCACAGCGTGCCAAGACAAGTGGGTGCAAAATTGGGAAGATCCATACGGGGGTGCCAAATTTTGACCTCACACGGGGCATTATATTATGAAAGATTACCAAAGTCCTCCCCTGCATATATATATATATACCATTAGTGTTCAGTTTTTAAAAATAATTGCCCCCCCACATACATACACACCTATGTTTTTAACTGTTTCTCTCTTAGCTGTAAGCCACCTTGAGTCCCTGTCAGGGAAAGATGCAGGATATAAATATATATTATAGTAATAAAAAGGATCAATCTAAGACTGAAGCTAGCTGAAGTCTTATAGACAGGTTAGCCCAAGCCCTACATAGAGCTGCATAGAGCACTTGCAAAAAAAAGCACCACATAGGATTGCATCTTCCTCTGTTCAGCGGGGTGCAGGGTTCTGCTTCACAGGGACTTTTCCTGTGAGGAAGGTGTTAATGGGGGGGGACAGATCAGACGACACAGCGATTCTTCAAACAGCTCTTGTTTATTCACAGGCCAGAACAGAACTGAACTGAAGGGTTCAGCCAGCCTGCTTAAATAGAGCTCCAGAACAACGTAACTGTAACAACTTTCTAAAACTATCCAATCACTGAACGTCACTTTCGATCCCTTATTTGCATAACTATCTACAGTATCCCCCTGCTGGCCCAGGGTGAGAACTTCAGTACATAACAGAAGGCATTTGCAAAGGAGCAACCTACAGCCAACAGGATTGACTCCTGAGCTAAGCAGCTGATAAGCAGAGCATTCAATCCTTCAGAGCACTTTTTTGCCAGCACTTTCCCTGCACGGTAGGCTCTTGTGAAAGAGCCTAGATCCTTACCTTATGTGAAGTTCTCCTTGTTGTGTGACACTGCAGCAGACCAACATTAGGCACCATTTATACTTTAGATCAGGTGACATAAAAAAAAAATCAAGCTCTAATTCATTCCTGTTCGAGAGATATTAGTACTTGTCAGATCAAAGTCCAGAATTAAAAGTAGAAAAGAATCAAAATTCTTGCGAAGCATTCTTTCTCAAAGGGAACGTGTTTCCCTCCCTTCTGTTACAACTTTTTCTATCCAAATATCAGTCACACGTGGTTGAGATTAAAAGACAAAATCTGCTTGATCAATATTTTCCACCAGGGGTACACACATTCCAGCTGCCTTTCTGCTAAGTTGTGTTCTATAAAGAAATTTAGCTCAACCCCTTCTCCCTAATGCCTGAGAACACTATTATAATGTATTTTAATTTCTCAGCTCTTCGGAAAAATTAATCTAATCTTAACTTAATCTATTTTAATGAACCCTACCTAGATGAATTAGATTTCAATTAGATTTTGATTAGAATGAGTAAGCGAGAGACTGCCGCAATGGAGAACAAAACAACATAGTCCCTGACACTGCCCAGGAAAAGGTGGAAACAAAACACAAAGATAAGGCCAGGGTTGGTTCCCTTGAAACCCCTGCCCATGCACTGATGACCACAGGCTTGACTACATACTCTGTAGAATTACAGCTTTGAGCTTCATCTCAACTTTGTGTGGAAATAGATTGTGAAAACTAACTTTATTGTATTAGCCTATCAGAGAGCACCACATCTTTTATAATCCATTCACCTGAGATATACAACCAGTTATCCTTCAAATATTGCCTATTTGAGAAGTTTATCTGCTATACGGAAGGCTTCTGCAGTTGCAGCTAGTGAAGGGCAGAACCTCTGCAATGAAATTTTGTAACTTTTATATGTAGATATATATATTTTTACTTGAAATGTGGAGGGCAGGGAGAGCCAGCATCTTAACATAAAGGTAAAGGTAAAGGGACCCCGACCATTAGGTCCAGTCGTGACTGACTCTGGGGTTGTGGTGCTCATCTCACTTTATTGGCCGAGGGAGCCGGCGTACAGCTTCCGGTCATGTGGCCAGCATGACTAAGCCGCTTCTGGTGAACCAGACCAGCATACGGAAACGCCGTTTACCTTCCCACCGGAGTGGTACCTATTTATCTACTTGCACTTTGACGTGCTTTCGAACTGCTAGGTTGGCAGGAGCAGGGACCGAGCAACGGGAGCTCACATCGGTGTGGGCATTCGAACCGCCAACCTTCTGATCGGCAAGTCCTAGGCTCTGTGGTTTAACCCACAGTGCCACCCGTGTCCCTGCATCTTAACATAACTGCATGTAAATATGCAGCATCTGATTCCACACATATCATAATGCCAGCACACATATTATTACATATTGCACCATGCCTGCCAGTTTTTCTTTGCTTGCCTGTTTGGGGGGAAAAGAATAATCTGTTTTGACACTCTTTGATGTCCTTTGGAGCAGGACAATTAGCACACTTTCTTCTTCCTATACCAATCAAAATAGAAACTGCATGAATATAACTGTACGGTTTTGAACTCTGAGTACAGTGGTTGTGTCTGGCCACCAGAGGAAGGCAAGAAGGCCAAGAGTGGAGACATGAAGTACAGAAGTGGCTTGCTTGATGGAGTGGAGCCGCAATGCTAGCTTCCTGCCAGGAGGAAGATGAGGATGTAGGAGCTGTGTGTGCACAAAAATAGAAGCAATCTGACACACAGTCCCAACCTCTCCACCACATTGTCCCTCCCCTTCTTGATAAATGGCAGGTACATCACTTCTAGAAAGCTGGTACTGAAACTCCATCCCACCAGATGAACCACTTCTGATGCAATGCCACCAGCTAGTCCATCATGGATTCAAATAATGTTATTAAAAAGCTAAAACACAGGCTACAAATCTGTTGGGGTTTTTTTTACCTAATACGTTTACCTAATTTTGAATATATATTTTTCTTATGAGATTTATAGGTTTATTTAGAAGGGTGTATTCAGTGTCAGATCAGCTCTAGTTAAGATATAAGTCTTCCTCTATCTTTGCAGTCCTAGGTGTCATGGACCAATCATTACTGGAGCCCATAAGAGACATGATGAGGCCACCCTTCTCTATATTCAATAAGACAACAGAGCAGAATGTTCTAAACATTATATTCATAACTGGAGAGTTTCCATAGGGTGGATTGCTTGCAGTAAAATAGTAACAAAACTTAATATCTTGAAAAATAATATGCACTGGGAAATTTCCAACTACATTCATCACACAACTGACATTTGAATAGGTTTGGTTTAATCAAACACCTAGACTTTTAGCTACCTTCCCTCAACCACTACTGAACTATTTTCTTTCAGTTATATTTAAATGTATATTTTAAATTCCATATATCTATGTTTCAACTCCTTCACTTTGAATTTACCTTTTCCAAGTCCCTTTTTAAGAATATGGCTGACCTGGCAGTTTCTGGCTGCTTGATCTTACTAAGCTGTAATTCTGGGGGGGGGGGGGGAATCCACTTAAATTTTACTTGCTGCACAGACAAAATAAGGAGGGCTACACTGGAGAATAAATAGGAAAGGGATCTCTTCTGACAATGGAATACTTACAATAGATTTTGGGAAGGTGGAGGGATAGGTTCTGATTCAACAAATTCAAGAAAAATCAGGACATCTTTTCTGGTACCCAAAAGAAAAAGTTAAGAACCACAACTATATTTCACATTCCTTTCAAAAACTATCAAGGCTTCTAGGCTCTGATGCACAGTTGTGTCATTGACATATGCCAGCTCCTAAAGGCTTTTATACAGACCTAAAGCATAATGTTAGAGCAGTTAACAAGAGCATAATGTAATGTACTCCTAGAGCAAAATATAATGCAAGATAACCTGCACTGATTACTGATTTTTGTTGGATGATGTTCTGTATGTTATGTTGTGACTCACTTTGTTATTTCTTTCCTTTTGCTTTACTTTCTGTAAATGTAAAATGGCATATAAAACCTTTAAAG